GATCCCTTTAAACGCGGTAATTCTCCAAGGATTCGAATTTACGCCATAAAGGAAATCCGCCGTGGACGACATAATTAAAGTTGTATTCTGTAAAATCATAAAAAGCGAAGCTATTGAGATTCGCTAGCGCATTCGCTAAATAATACTGAATATTCATTATCGACCACCAAACTATACCATACGACGTAATATACATGACCCATTTCCAAGGCTGATGCTGCAACCGATTATCCGCAAAATTTAACAATTGTAACGTGCACAGCATACGTATTTCCAAAACGTATTATTATCGCATCATGCCGTTATACAGAAGTCAAAATTGGCGCGCAATTTCAGATACCTACTACCAACTACAGCAGACGCGATTCTTTTCAGTCTCTATAGCCTGTACGAACTGATATATCTACATATAGATTGGTAATACTGCACCAGTCACGCTCGAATGCACGAATCCAAAGGCAGTATAACCAGCCACCGTATAGCTCTACACCGCCATGGAATCGTCTATCGTCTATCGTCTACTGTCTACCGTCTGGCCAACGTTGGTTAGACTCCATTCCACAACTACACACCAATAATCTTCGATGACTCGTCGTATTTTCTTGGTTTAATATCATCCACATCGGCGTGGAGATTCGTCAGCTTCATCGAGCATAATGAATGGATAGATGTGTGTGAAAGAATAAACGAGTCATCTGCTGCCCGTTTTTTTTTCAAATGATCTATAGCTGTCGAAAAATGATAACGCGTGCGATAATTCGAAAGGCTAGAATGACGTATTGCGTTCCGTTAACGATGTGTAAGCTGTGCGTGATTAAGAAAGCTTTAAACAGTAATACACCTTTAGCATATACATATAATAGGTAGTAGTCTAACGCAACTGTGTATTTGGGAATCCTTAGGAATGACCGTTGCTTCTTAACAGTTGTGCATTTCCCGTTTTATAGGATATCGAATAAGATCATTAATTATAACGGGATATCTTTTAAGCTCTATTAAAACCCGTGAAATTGTATGTTACCTTCGTAAAATTAAATCGCCACTGTACGTACGCTAAGTACATGAAGCCATTTAAAAATAAAGAAAAATCCAGCGTTTCTCATGGATCTCCTAAATATATCCGGAAAACAAAATAGTCCCAATCGTTAACGACTTCCAAAAGCCGTTACGACTAGGCTATGGAAATATACAGTTAGAAAAATGAACGAACGGTAGAGAACTCCAGCGCCAGTAAGGGATCTATACTTAACGAATACTTCACGAACGATCGGCTATTATGCAAATCCCTGCATCCGACGTGCGTCGCGACCTTTTAAAAATACGCGCTCGAGTTTAACTCGCTCGTAGCCAGTTTGGTCAAAGTCGTGGGTAAACAGTAGATACGAGGAAGTAGATGGGTGGAGGTATGCAGAATGTTTACGTTTGGATTACTTGTGTAATGGCGGCTACCGTTCCCCGGCACGACCCATTATATTAATATCACTAAGCTATACTGCGCACTGTGGAGTTTATAGTGAGCGGCTGCTCGCGGCACAGTGGACTTTGCATATTCCAAAATTGTGCGTAACGTCTAGGCAGCCGGCAAATGAGCGGGTATTGTTGGGCTGAAGAAGAGCAGAGGAATGCGAAGCCACTGATTACTATCAAGAATGTTATCAACGTGCTTGCATAGAGCGTAGGTTCGTGTCGTAGGAACGTTAAGCTGATTCGTGGTCAGACTTGTGACTGGAAACACTTGGAGCACGAAATTCGTCGAGGATCTCAAGAGAATAGACGTGCGAGAAGTGTGGAGAGTTGACGCTCTTCGTGATAACTGTTTTTTCAGTCCTTTACTCAGTGTATACATGTACAGTCGTTCGTGACACTGCTATGGGATACGCTCTAAGAATTCGCTCATCTGGAAAATGACATTTATGACTTACCATAATAATCTTGGGATTTCTAGGAATTCGTGGGTAGATTAGATTTTTGTTAAGAAGAGAAGAACTTTTGAACTGAGGTTGTGAAGATTTTTTTGCTATCGATACGAAAGAGAACATTGTTACGTATTCAGTGAAAGCACGTATTCGTTAAAGACGATTGTTACTTTTTTTTTTTTTTTTACGTGTGGAATAAATTTACGTTTGACAATTAAAAATGAACTTTTTATACATGTATTTTGCTATAGATAGAAGCTTTTATCGAATGCTCTAAATTAGCTTGGAATTACGTAGCTAAAATCCTGATGGAAATAATTCAGCAATAGAGATGCTGTAACTGCCCGGGACTAACTTCGCGCTCGTTTTCAACCCTTCAATTCGTACTTGGTTTAGGGGTTAGGGTGCAATTTGAAATTCTCCCTTCTTCGCCGGTCCAGTAACCCTTATCGGATTTACGTGCTAGTAAATTGTCTGGACCGCTAAGACCGATTCTGAAGGGTTGCAAGAGAGAGTCAAGAGGTTAGTAAATTTTATCCAAATTGCCTGCAAAACAAATTTAAGAGGCCTGTAAACGATCTGTAGTTCAAGATCGAGAAAACTGCTTAATCGACATAAAAGACAACCGCACGTACATTTCCATAAACACGAGTTAAACGTGAGTTAAGATATCGTATACCAAATTAAACGGAACTTTCAATAAAATCTGCTTTGCCATAATGCCATAATAGTATATTCGTGTTTAATTGAGGAATTTGATTAAAATAATAATTAATCGTAATCGCTGACTAAAGAGAACTTTTAATATTACCATTTAAAAAAGCATCCTATTAATAAAGATACACGATTTAAAATTAAAAATTACATCAAATATTTCAAGTGACATGGAAATTTAAGAAAAGAAGAACCACTGAGCAATTAAAAACAATGTAAATCTTTTACACAGATTTGTAGCAAAGACTGCCATCGAGATACTTCACAAGAAAAAAATAATCTTCGTTCTCGAGGCTGCTAAATTTCAAATTGAAAGCGATCGCACAGCGAAGATCACGTGAACTCGACTCATACTATTTTGATACGCGTTAATCTTTTTTAATGCTCTTATCGCTTGGAATTCTATTAATAATAATTTTCATAATTTAGAGCATTCCAGCCAGTGAGAACGACCGTAATCTATACGTTCCATGATTCAATAAAGTAATTTATATACCATCCGACGACTGTTTTAAAAAACGATCCGACAAGTATATAGTGATCTCGATGCGTACAGGGTTCATCTCATTCTGTTGGAAATCACAAAAGAATTAATAAAATTTACAACATATCTTTGAGACGTGACAATATGCCATAAAAAAAAGTATCTTCCTACACGCACCTATACGTTAGCATTAGTATTAGAAATATTAATAATCTCGGTTTACAGAAGGAGCAACTATTAGCCAAGAGCCAAAGCTGAACAGCAGCTTCCCTCAGTGTCTCTCCCCATTTTCTCAGTCCTTTTTCTCTCTCTCTCTCTCTCTCTCTCTCTCTCTCTCTCTCTCAATAATCCACCAAAACGTTAGCAATCCACCATATGGCGTATTACATAGCTCGAGCGAATAACGCAAATGCCCAGGATGCGGTCCGATACAATAGACGTCAGTTTTAGTTACGCCATGCCCGTCAACCTCAAATCATCGAGCGAGAGATGAGCCAATGTTCCATTTTGCTGTGGCAGGACGGGATAGGCTGCTCCTCGAAAACTATTGTCCATAAGCACGGATGCGTAACAATACCGGGGAAATTGCGATACGCGTCGTAAAACGGACATGCTCTCCTCTCGAGGGGCTTTTTAGGGCTGGACCAGGACCCTGGAGAGACCCTTATTATAACGTGGATACTTTTCGAATGGACTTTAACGATTCTCCAGCGTAGACTACTCTCGTCTTTGTACCTTCGTCTCTTCGTTAATCTCATAATTGAAAGCTGAACCGTAACGCTAATCGTTATACTCTTTATTCCCAAACGTCCCCGAGACACTGAGATTTCACGTCTAGTGATCCTTCTCGTTACCCTTCCTCGTCTATACTTTGATACTTGAGAGGGAGTGGCGAATCGCGAGGGTGTCGTTGAGCCGAGCAAACAACGTTCTATCAACGTACTGTCTCTATCGATAAGGCGCACCTGTGTTGATAATGCATTAGCGCTAGGATAAGAATTGCCTGGTTGAATAACCTATGGACAGACATACTATCCATGTACTTACACCGTATAATCAATTACGCATATCCAGGTGGATGTAAATTCTAAACACCACTTTGGTAGCTTTATTTGCCGATTACTTTTATACTTTCTATACAACATTTTTTCACCTACCCGTGTGTATACTGGAATTGTGAGTAGGATCGATGCGTATGATTACTTTTGATTAGTGTGTTTCTAGAACGGAACTTTAGTCTCGAATTGTTATACTAGTTTGAGAGAAGGTTTTACCGTATATTTTAAGGCTTATTTATTCTCATTTAGACAAATTATCTTTCTTCCTTTTCTTATGGCTTCATCCTCAACTAAACATTCTTGCTAGTTAATCGGTTGGCTGTGCTCCACGAGTATACCTCGTCATCGCTTTATTTTTTCAATAGAATTTAGGTACACGCTTTCAACATAGGGCGACCAAGCTAACTGGTTGAAACAGCCAATTGCTTAACAAGTAGATAATATTGGAATGATTGAACATTTGTTTTGTCCGTGAAGTTTTTCGGGAAAAAGATGAAGGAAACGACGAGGAAATTACATTTCGCAGGATCTGTACTTTCTAAAGAAAATTAAGACACATAAGGAGATCTAGGAGAAACAAGGCGGGTCTATGAAGAATTTTCATTTATCTATTAAATACCGCGCAGAGACCGCACAGAGAATTCCTGCTGGAGTTTAACCAAGTTGAATCAATTTCGAGAGTACACTAACGAGAAACAAAGGGTCTTTACGTAAATCCCACGTATTCGAGTGAAATGCAAAGGGCGTTTCGTTAATTTCGCATTACGATTAAATGCTTGGCAAATTAATTCCTATGAATACGTAAAATTAATGGAATCATGGACTCACCTTCTCGAAACTGAATAACATTTTCGTGACGATCGTTGATGATCATGCAGCGATAACAATTTTCCGCACTGAAATAATACAAAAAAAAAACATTCGTGTCTTTATACGAAAGTTTACAGTTTATCGAAAAAGTCGATCCATCGACTGTCTATCGATTGATCGAACAGTTATTAGAAATATGATAATCATAACAATCGCAACTTACGTCTCGCGGACGATGTACGCATCCGCATCCCTGTCCACGCAAACTCTCTTGTTCAAGACGGATGCGTTTACCGTGACAGGACCTGGTTTATCGTAGAAGAACCATTCGCCTGCCCAACTCGCTGGAAATTCACAGGCGCCTGTAAAAAAGAGAAATAGGACGTTTTAATATACTGCTGGATTCGTTGACATCAAGTTTCATTCATATGAAAAAGTATTACTTCGTTAAGACCGTATATCCTGATATACGCAATACGTAGGAGTGCCTATTAATATACAAAGTTCAAAGAATCTGGTGACGATATTACTTTACTGACAAAAAGGGCTCGCTGTTTGCATAAAATATTTTTTTTTTTTTTTTTTTTTTTTTT